AAAATTTACGTTTGTTCCTCCAAGTGACTTTGGAAGAAAATATGCATGATGCTGTTAATATATTGAGGGTCAAAATACACGATCTCTCAAATTATCCACAGCTTTCCATATTACAGGTAATGTAATGGATCACTCTACAGGTCGCACGTGGCCCGTAGCCCGATGGTTCGATCTACACGAAATTTAAAATGTAGGTGGGGTTAAGGTCAGAATAGAACCCTATTTCTTTTGGAGATGATCGCGTACTATTTAGGGGTAGAAATGGACCAAAAACTGAAAAATTTCCTGATTTTGCAGTTGCTCTACAGGACACAATTGTAGACCACTCGAAGCGAAAGTTAGCATGGGGCTAGAGCTTTGGGCTGGAAGCTTTCCAATTTTGATGGTCATCGGGTAATATTTAGTGGGTGAAATAGACCATAACATTTTTGGTAAATAGTAGTGAAATTTCCCATTAAACAGCGAATATTTTTAATGCCGGCGAAATCACAAATAGACGAACAGGTCAATTCTGACCGTTACGTACATGCCGATAGTAAATATATCGGATATATATATATATATATATATATATATATATATATATATATATATATATATATATATATATATATATATATATATAGCATTTTCAGATTAAATGAAACCTTTTGCAATTCAAATGAATCTTTTTGCAGCGGGAATGAAACCTTTTGCAGTGGAATTGAAACCTTTTGCAGTGGAAATGAAACCTTTTGCAGTGGGAATGAAACCTTTTGCAACCGAAATGAAACCTTTTGCAACCGAAATGAAACCATTTGCAACCGAAATGAAACTTTTTGCAAATCAAATGAAACTTTTAAATTTATAGAAGGAAAAATAACAAAACATTTATATTTTTAGTAGTTTTGAAATTAAATCAATTAATTATAACTAATATATTGACAAAGAGGATTTTTTATTGATTATAAATATCTACATTTATTTATATTATTTCTTAAATTTTCAATTATTGTAATAACAAATGGTTTTGAATGGTCTTTATTGATTTGATATAAAATGCTTCCATATTATTAAATTCCGAATGCTTAGTGCTAAAAACAGAAATTTAAATAAATTTTTGGCCTTTATAGGTATGGCCAGGACTGAAATGTGAAATTAAGCTTTACCACAATTTTTTATAGTTATAGTATACTATTAATCTTTCCTAATAAAGGATTCCCGCTTCGCAGCTTTATTGATTATGGAGATAAAGTAGTCGTGATTTCAGTAGACAGATAAGTGGAAATCATTAAATCAACTATGATCATGATTGTATATACTTTATGGGGTCTACGACGAATATTTAGAGGGGTTACAAACCGAATGACAAATTTAATATATCCTCCTTTCCATGGAGGAGATTATAAAAAGGTACCTAATTCGGGTCCTTTGAAAAAAATACCTTGAATAACTTTTTTCAATCTTTCTGCATCTACACTTGTGTTTTATGGAAGCTTAAGAAAAAAATTTATAAAAACATAGTTATTAACAAGTAAGCAAAGGCTACAGTCGAGCGGGGCCGACCGTTGAATACCCTACAACACTATAATAAACGATACAGTTTATATAGGCGAGATACTCGAAAGAATTCCACAAGATATTGTGACAAATAATAAAAAAAAAACCATCAGGTTCCGTTCTCTAATTTTCGAATAATAGCAACTTAAACCAATTTGCTCATTTCCAATTTATTGGTAGATGTTGCACTTAAATGGTCTTCCTAGATCTGGAACCAATATTTCCCAAAGACCTATAATCTTTCAGAAGTGGCAAAAGATTAACATCTATATGAGATACAGACATTTGACTATATTCTTCAACGAAATCAGCGTTAACGAAATAGTCAGAAGTGCGTCTTTCCTGTATTTGTGAATTCTCCAAAAAGTCACTGGAATGGACATTTTCGTATTTTGTCTACAAAAGTTGGCAAACTACATCACACATTGAATATTTTTGGATGGCCATCCAAAACTGCTTGGCTTTTGCAATGTCCGGTAACCCCAATTCAAATGTGAGTGAGGGTCGGCCGATAATTACGACCTGCTGACAATTTTGCAGTTTTTTGGTCCATTTCAACCCCTACATATATGGCGATCATCTCCAAAAAGAGTAGGCTTCTATTCTGACCCTCATCTGATCCCCATGCAAAATTTCGTTAGGATCGGACCATAAATGGGATCTTTATATGATATCCTAACTACTTAGTTTTGTTAGCTGTAGAAATATTACCAAATGTTTATTTCAAAATGAAAATATGCCAAAAATATGACAAAATGGAAAAAATATGAGAAAATTTTAAAAAATCAATATTTTCATCTTTAGAGAGATATTTTTATGCGATTTTTTAGACGTTTTTACTTTCCTGCCATGAGGCCATTCAGAATTAATGAGAACTGTGGAAATCAGTTCAGCCGTTCTCGACATATAAGAGATTTTTCAAGCATATCTTCTTTGATAAACGTATATATCGCACATATTTTGCTATATATCCGTTTTGTTGGATGTTAACATCAATGTAAAGATCAGAAGTAACCTTGTCATGGCTTTGTGATTTCGCCGGGATTTAAAATATTTGCAGTTTAATGAAAAATTTTGAATTTTTTCAACACAAAATATGTGGTCTATTTTACCCGCTAAATATTATCCGATGACCATCCAAATTGGTAGGCTTCTTCCTCGCCCTAAACTCTAGCCACATGCGAAATTCCGCGTCGATTGGTCTATAATTTCGACCTGTATAGCTACTGCAAAATCCGACATTTTTTCAGTATTTGGTCCATTTCAACCCCTAAACATTTGGCGATCATCTCCAAAAGAAATAGGGTTCTATTCTGACCTTAACCCCACCTACATTTTAAATTTCGTGAAGATCGGGCCATAATTGCGACCTGTAGAGTGATTACAAATTAACATGGACAGACGGACAGACGGACATACATAGCTAGATCAACTCAGCTCGGCGAGCTAGGAAGATCCATATATACTTTCCTATATGGGAAACCAATATTTCGAGGTGTTACATAAATTCTGGCCCAATCAAACTTATAATACCCCCAACACATAGTGTTGTAGGGTATAATAATCAATAAAAATTCCTCTTTAACTATATATTAGTTATAATTAGTTTATTTCATTTTAAACCTACTGAAAATAAAAATGTTTTGTTATTTTTCCTTCTATAAATTTAAAAGTTTCATTTGATTTGCAAAAAGTTTCATTTCGGTTGCAAATGGTTTCATTTCGGTTGCAAAGGGTTTCATTTCGGTTGCAAAAGGTTTCATTCCCGCTGCAAAAGGTTTCATTTCCACTGCAAAAGGTTTCAATTCCACTGCAAAAGGTTTCATTCCCGCTGCAAAAAGATTCATTTGAATTGCAAAAGGTTTCATTTAATCTGAAAATGCTATATACAATGTGTATATACAAAGGAAGATGATGTTAGTTAGAATGCTTATATCTCAAGAATGGCTGGACCGATTTTGACAAATTTTGTCAATTCAGAATGCCCTCTTTTGTACATTTTGTAGTATTTTGTGACATTTTTTTATTTTTTCATATTTTTTATCGCATGCGATTTTTTCAATTTGAGTTAAAATATTGAAATGTATATTTTGTGATATTTTTTCACCTTACAACATAGGTTAGAATTATTATATAGAGTTATAGGTAGAGTTAGGCTCAGAAGGGGTAGGCCTATTGTTTTCAAAGATGCCCACAATATATTTAGGGGTTGAAAGGGACCAGCAACTCAAAATGTTCCTTGTGATCTTTATAATCACAAATAGAAACCAAAGTTAGAAGAAGTTAGAATTTAAGACAGTGGGCAGAATTGACCACTACTTTTGTGTGAAAAAATTCCAACATTAATTACAGGCCATATCCGAAATACACAATAGGCGAACTTCTGGCTTTTCATGCTGATTCCGTTGACGAATATAGCCAAATATCGTAGACAAGCAAATCATATAGATGAGTCTAAATTTGGTGACACAGAAGGGCTTCTTCTTTTGGAGATGATCGCAAAATATTTAGGGTTCAAATGAACCAAAAACATAAAAAAATCATGATCACACAATTGAACCCAATCGACACGCTTGAGAAGATGGTTAAGCACAGGGAAGAAATCTGGCATTTTGGATGATCATTGGACTATATTTAGCCGTAAAATGGACCAAAAAAAACTAACAGCACGACGAAGTGCATAAATATTGGGAAAATGTTCCTGGTCAAAATGCTAAGGGTAATATCTGGGCTGTGCTAACATAATTTCAAAATCGAAATCTTCCGAAATGGATTTGGACATAAGGGGGCTTCCAACATTTTGTTGTGTTGTAGGGTATCACATGGTCGGCCCCGCACGTCTATAGCCTTTGCTTACTTGTTTTTTAATATATTTCTAAATTTGCATTAACTATTCATATTAATTAACACGAAACTATTTGTAGTTACGTATTCCTTAGAATAGTGCTTTTCATTATTCGGCATTGTGATGATTTTAGCAGCACATTTTAAACTATATTGTTTCAAAAAAGGTATTTGAAATGGGAGAAATTGATTGAAATTTAGGACATTTATATTAATGTCACCTCTCGATGTTCGTTATAGTAGGTTTCAATTTATTTAAAATAGAAAATGATCAATATTTCGAGGTGTTAACAGCTGGTTGACCCAATTAAACAAACAAAAGTCATTAATTTGTTCCAATATATGTTTGATAATTGTGTTTTTTATGTACTTATCCTTTTAATATCTTAAACCTAATGCACAAATTCTGCTATTTTGCTTTGCTGTTTATAAAGAAAATGTACACTCTTCATCAAAGCGAGAATGACTTCAGAGGATTTGAATGGTGACTGTTAGTTGTCGCGCCATTTTCGGCAGTAGCGATGTTGGTGATGCTACTGGTGTTGGTAATACATTTTTGTTTACTTTTGGCCGCAGTTGTTGTCGGCCATGATGATGACGACGATGACAACAGATGCTCAAGAACCATCACACATCTGAATGACAGCATCAATAACATTAGCAACATCATCAACACCACAGGCACCAATAACATCACCTATAACAACACCATCTGCAATTTTACAGTACCACGACGCCGACGACGAAGATGAAGTGACACTTTTTCTTGTTTTGGCTGATGATGACTTTATGTTGGATAATGCCTATGGGGTAATGGAGTTGTAAGTATGTGTCCACATAATAGTCATCTGATGTTTATAAACAGAGTGGGAAAGAATGTATTTGGGAAACAGTTTGCTTAAAAAAATTAGAATTCGTCGGCATTTTCCTATTCAATTGTACTCCATTAAGATGCAGCAAATTATAATGGACATGTTACATTGAAAACAAATTATAAGGAAAGATGACTATTTATGAAAACACAATGTAAGATGGAGTTAATTTTAAACATTTATATTTGGTAAAAATGAACGCGATTTGAATAGATCAAAATCAAAAATGTGTATATACAGTACCTATATAAATATACTTGTAAAAATGGAAGAGTAAAATGTAAGCTTTATCTTGTGTTACGACAACCTTTAAAAAAGGTATTTTGGCGAGTTTAATTTTTTGCCCATGAAATCAGTAAAAAAACGGCAGTTTTCGAAATTCCATAACAGATATACCGTTAATGGGGCTATGAAAAAAATTGACCTATATGAACAATATTCTGCCACAGGAGATAGAACCTATAACAAAATCGGAGATAAGATAATCAGAATACCGAACATCGGGAGATTCCCCTTAATGGGGCATGAAGGAAAACATGAACCTCTATACAGGGTGAGATGAAAAAGCTGCAACCAACTTCTGCTGTTGTCATTTCTAAGCCACTCGTCCGACAGCTGTTAACATTATTCCCATGATAGCTCATTATATTATTTACAAGCGTACAAAAGCATTTTGGTGAGAGTTTTCCAGAAAAAAAGTTATTCTTGATGAAATTCAAGCGTGACAGTGTGATTTTTTAATATTTTAGATGGAAAACCACAAGAGGCTATCGTTAGTGCAATCGAGCATTTATCGTTACTGTGATAATGGTAGTGTAGCCCAACTTCAAGAAAGTGGGCGGAAGAAAACAGCAACATCAGCAGAAATGGTTCGAAAAGTAAAGAAGCGACTTGATCGAAACTCGCGTCGCAGTGGCCGAAAAATGGCTCGTGAGCTGAACATATCGCAATATTCCATTCGGAAAATATTGAAAAAAAGAAATTCCAAAAAGTGTAAGAACTTATACCGCAACGGAAAGAAAATAGACTGAACATTCGTTTCCCAGCAGTTTGTAAACAACCCAAATGATCGTGTTTACTTGCCAAAGAGGTCAGCTGAAAATGTGCACCTTGGTTTGGCCGACAGAACTCACGGCCGGCCATGGTGATGGTGTGGGCCGCCGTAACAGCCGATGCTCGCTCTCCGCTCGTATTAATAAACTGTGGCATCAGCATAAATGCCGAAAATTATAGCGAAAATATTCTGGAGCGTGCATTAAGGCCTTGGGAACGCAAACATTTTGGCCGCTGACCTTGGACATTCCAACAGCACTCAGCACCATCGCACACAGCACGCGCCACGGTTTCATTGGCCGTTTGAAGGCCATAATTTGTGCCAAAGGTGACCAATTCGAACAACTCTAAGTTAGAATTTAGGGCTGGGCGGAAGCCTACCAATTTGTACGGTCATCGGACAATATTTAGCGGAATGGTCTTTTGCCAAAAAAAGGATAAAATTTAAAAAAAATTGCGTAAGAATATGACAATTAAAAAGATAATATTTTTTCTTACATTTTTTTAAAATTTTGTCATATTTATACCCTACAACACTATGTGTTGGGGGTGTTATAAGTTTGATTGGGCCAAAAATTATGTAACACCACGAAATATTGGTTTCCCACATAGGAAAGTATATATGGATCTTCCTATCTCGCCGAGCTGTGTCGATCTAGCTATGTATGTCCGTCCGTCTGTCTGTCCATGTTAATTTGTAATTACTCTACAGGTCGCAATTATGGCCCGATCTTCATGAAATTTAGAATGGAGGTGGGGCTTGGGTCGGAATAGAGATGGGAGATGATAGCATAATATTTAGGGGTTGAAATGGACCAAAAACTGAAAAAATTAATGATTTTGCAGTTGCTATACAGGTCGCAATTATAGACCAATCAAAGCGGAAGTTAGCATGGGGCTAGAGCTTTGGGCTGGGCAGAAGCCTTCCAATTTTGATGGTCATCGGGAAATATTTAGTGGGTAAAATGGGCCACAACATTTGAGTTAAATAAAATTCAAATTTTCCATTAAACCGCGAATATTTTTAATCCCGGCGAAATCATAAATAGACGAACAGGTCAATTCTGACCGTTACGTAGATGCCGATAGTAAATATATCGGTTATATATAGCGAAATATATACAATGTGTATATACAAAGGAAGGGGATGTTAGTTAGAATGCTTATATCTCAAGAATGGCTGGACCGATTTTGACAAATTTTGTCAATTCAGAGTGCCCTCTTGACATAAAAGTATGAAATCAAAATAAAAAAAAAATCCAAGAAAAATGTGCTAATTATGATGTTAATATAGATTTTGTAGTATTTTGTGATATTTTTTATTTTTCCATATTTTTTATCGCATGCGATTTTTTCAATTTGACTTTTAATATTTCGTAATATTTTTTCACCTTTGCAAATATCAAATATCGTCCGATCGTCACGAAAATTATCACAAGGGTAGGGTTGGGCTCAGAAGAGCTAGGGCTATTGTTTTCAAAGATGTCCGCAATATATTAGGGGTTGAAATGGACCAGAACTAAAAATGTTCCTGAAACCAAAAACAGATGAAACAATTCCGATGAAACAATTGAAGCCAATCGACACGCCTGTGAAGAGAGTTAAGGACATTATATTTAACTGTAAAATGGACCACAACAACTAACAGCCCGAAGGAGTGCAAAAATATTGGGCAAATATCTCTAGTCAAAATCCTAATTTCAAAAGCGAAATCTAACATATCGTAGTGTTGTAGGGTATAACATAGCCGGCCCCGCACGACTATAACCTTTGCTTACTTGTTTTTACATGCGATTTTTTCAATTTGACTTGCATTTTAGAATTTACACTTTCTAAAGTTTTTCTACAGCCTGCAATACTATGTTTTGAGGGTATTATATACAGGTCGCAATTATCGTCCGATCCGCACGAAATTTTGTATGGGGATAGGTTTAGGGTCAGAATTAAAGCCTATTGTTTTTGAATATGTACATATAGAAAAGAATAGATATATGTAAGTATGCATGTGTAGCATAGACAACTAGACACCCACTATTTTCGGAAGTGTCTGTTAGGTGTGATTTTGCATAATTTCCAAATGATTTCCTGCAAAGAAAATTTAAACTAGTAATGTGATGTTATTGCTTTTTCCAGTTTAACAATCTTGTCATATAATCCCTTGCCTTTTTAACAATGTTATCTTCCTAAATTTCCTCCCATAAACATTGTTTGCAAAGTGACGAGTAGATAAAGAAATGTCTTAAATGTTTGACTGCTTTTAAACGTCCGTTTATTTTAACTCAATTATGCAACGTGTGCTGTTAGTTGTTGTGGCTATTTCGCAATGACGGTGATTTATGTGGCAATTGTTTCATCAAACACCGTTTTCACTTTGGAGTAATAAAATATTGGTATGTGCCTCTCTACTTTTTTTGCAAGGAAATTAGGTTTTAAATTAACTAGGTGTTTAAATCTAGTCACATCATCATACAATGTATCGGAGATATATTGGCACTAGCGAAAACAAGTTTTTTTTTTATTGAGAAATAAATTTATTAGCAAAGCACAAGCTTAGATATTACCGCAACAATGCTTAGTAGTACTTTGGATTGGAGAGTATTTTTGTACTCTACGACACTATTTGTTGAGAATATAATGAGTTTGATTGGGACGAAAAGATTGTAATATCTCAAAATATTGGTTCTCGATACACCATATAGTATATCGAACGTTAATGTCGCTATTATGGTCCAACCTTTATGAAATTTGATATCAAGTTAGGTTCATAACAAAAGCTTTGAGGATGATCGAAATTTATTATTCATATAGAGAATTTTTCTCCGAAACTAGAAACAAATCAGCTTAAATTTAAATTTCACGTTCTTAGCGGGTAGCTTATAACAGAACTTCAACTTTTTTAGGGATTTTAGAATAACCAATTTGGCCATATACTAAGTTTTCACATGTACAAAGATATAACAAACATAAAAATCTATATATATATAAATGTAAGTTGTGTTAGTTACTACGCTTATAACTTAAGAACCGCTGGACTGATTTTAACGATTCACACAAATTCGGAGTTGTCTCCTCTCCGAAAAGGATAATATCCAAAAAAATCGCGTAAAAATGTGATATATTAACATTTCCATTTTGACTTTTCAAATGTACAATACTAATGTTTTATTTTGCATGATTTGTTTTCCATTTTGACTTACTTTTTTCTAATGTACATTTGTAGTGTTTTTATACCCTACATGTCTTTGTGCATTTGTTTGTAACAGGCAAAAGGAAACGAGATAGACCCATAGTTCCTTTTGATGATCTGCATAGAATCACTTTCTGAGTTGATTTATGCATGTCAGTCCGTCTGTCTGTCCGTCCGTCCGTCCGTCCGTCTGTCCGTCCGTCTGTCCATGTATTCTTGTGAACAAAATGCAGGTCGAATTTATTATCCGATTGAGATGAAAGTTTGCAAACAACATTTGTTTGGCCCAAGGACGAACCCTATTGAAATTGGAGATAATCGGTAAAAATTTAGATATAGCTCCCATATATATCTTCGTCCGATTTGCCTTTTATTGTGCACCAAACGTGTAATATCAGCCCGAATAGTATGGAATTTTGCACATACAACCAAATTAGGCCTGAAAATAAGTATGCCAAATTTTATCGAAATCGGTTCAGATATAGCTATAGCTCCCATATATATTGTTCATTCGATTTGTTATTTTTGTCCTCCGCAGCCGTAATATGCACTCTGTTACAACAATATTTGGAGAAATATAACAAATGCAGCTCAGAAATACCTTTGCTAAATTTTATCGAGATCGGTTCAGATTTGGATATAGCTCCCACATATAACTTCGTCCGATTTACCATTTATTGTGCACCAAACG